TAGAATTCAAATAAAAAATTTTTAATCGAATTTAGTCAAGTGGTTATCGAGATAACTTCGCTCAAAGATTTAGAAAAATTTTGATGCAGCTTTGTTTTGATAGACGTTTTGATTTTTTTCTAAAACTTTGAACAAAGATATCTCGACAACCGCCTGACCAAATTCGATGAAATTTTTACTTGCAATTAATTATAAGGGCGAATCTATTTGTCGCCGGCGGTGACAGACCCAGGCCAATCAGATTGCACGATTCAAAAATTTCAAATCAAAATAACTCAAAATTATGCCTATGAAACCAATTTCCGTGTTTTAACAAAAAATATTTCTTGCATAATTTTACTATATATTATGACCATTTCTGACCCTAAATATAGGCTTAAATAAAATCACCGCCGGCGACAAGTAGATTATTTCTAACTATATATATATATATATATATATATATAGTAACTTTATAGTAACTATAGATTTACATTTAATATAAGTTAGCAATACGCCTCCTACTATTTTACCACTACGTTATTATATACTGGTAATACTTTACTACAATTTTATAAAAAACTTTAAAAAATTGAAACTGATTTTTTATAAAAATGTAATAAAAGTATTGCTAAGATATAGTCAAATCTCTCTAAATGGGGCAGCCAAAAAATCATGCATTTAGGGAGGTAAAAATCCATAACGATAATTACATTTAGGGAGGTCTGACTGTATAAGTCACGTAGTAATAAAATAGTAGTAGGCGTATTGCTAACTTATATTAAACGTAAACTATAGTTAATATAAAGTAATTATATAGTTACTTTATAGTTAATTACAAGTATATAGCATTAAAGTTGTAAATTTGATGTTTCTGTAAAGTAAGATTATTTCTAAAAAAGCTTCGGCTGGTTGACCAGGCTAGCTTTTTTGCTGGTATAAAATTTCGAATCAAAATCTCTTTTAATATCTATCAAATGTGTAAAAAACCATCGAGTATTTTTTTGTCAAATTCTAGTATTATTAAAATAATTTGATTTTATTCTTTTTGTTAAAATTTCAGCATGTTAGTATTTTATCTATGCATCCGTTTCTTATTATATGTATAGATTCATTATTTGCAAAGTAACGTCTTTGGTTCACATTTAAACAATGGATCAGTTAATGGCCACTATTTCAATATGTCGTTTTCACCCTGCCTAAATATGCTTTAGAAACTGACACTTTATTTTCAAACGGCCTGGCACACGAAGGTGCAGGCCGAAGTCGATCTGCAGATTGATTCGGCCGTTGGTCTAGGGACAGTTGTATTATTATATATAGACTATTAGTGCAAGTACAGAAGCATTAAAAAAAAAAAAAACTTCCAAACAACACGATCCTACATCTCTAATATAAGTGATGGGAAGAGAAAACCTGTAAATTGATTCACTAACTTTCACCTTATCGGATTCGGCCCCTGAAGAATCTGATATTATGATTAATTCTAGAACACATTGATTATCTCTTAAAGAGCTGCCAGATCATATAATTTCTCCGCAAAAAAAAATAAAAATAAAAATCGTTTAATGACCATAGCACACTTTATCGAGGAAATTGAACGGTCAACCTTACACGTGTTTAACCACATTTAATCATAATTTTATGAGTCCGACAATTGTTAGTCAATTTGCGGTTTTCTCTTTCACTACTCATATATGTAATTGACCGCTCCATTCATCAGCTTTTATCAGTTAAAGTTATAGCAAATTTATTTTTATTTTGATCTGAAACCAATCCACTATAAATTGGGCAAAGTTTTTATATATACAATCTTGCTTTAAAACAAGAATCAATAGATTTCTCGAACGATAATCATCGATGAAAGTATCTATAACTGAAAAAAAATTTTCAAAGTGCTACATAAGTCAAGGCTTATATAGAAGAAGGTCTCTATTCCTTTTATCTGCTTCGACAAACTTGTCAATTTCTAATTTGTTAATGCGTAATTGAACATCTTTTTCCTTTATCAAAAACAATATGATAATTAATAAACAAACTTACGATTTTATATCGATGTTTTAAGCAACATATAAATTGATTTATTTACCTTTGCCCATTCAAATCTGGGAGTTTGTAATATCCTTTGAATTAAAAGTGCCTTAATAATTTGTTTTTCTGGCTTAATAATTCTCATAATGGCTGAATCTAGTTGAATTGCTCTATCTTCAGCTAACCGCTGCGATATCTTGACATCCAATGCATTTTGTACCTGAATAATTATAAAATATACAAAATTGATATTAAGTATTACTTTATAAATATTGTACCCAAATGTTAACTTGTCCCAACTGTCAATCGGGATGGCTCAGGTGTCAATTTACAAGTTCCTGCCTAAATAATATTAATTTGCTTCAATTGATAGTTAGCCAGATTACAAATTGACATTTGGGCATATCATAAATATAACATAACAATTCGCACCCTTTTAGCCACTTCAAGATCTTCTAGAGTGATTATATTATTGTCAATACCAATTGTGGTATCCAACGATTCATTAATACAAAATCTATTAGTGTTCTCTATATCATCATTCGGTGGATCTTTTAATAATAATGAGATCTTCCCGAATATCAGTGATTGTAAAGCGCGATTCAGTTCGGTAGTTTCTAAAAGCAAATATTAGATATAATTAGACAATAAGCAAAAACATTAGACCTAGTTAATAAATATCCTTAATAATATGACAAACCCAATCCAGTCAGCCTCCTGATTTCTTCGTACGAAAGGTAACTCCCAGGTTTCAAATCATTGAATAACAACAATACTAAGGTTGAACATAAGCTCAAATCTATAAGAACATTTTTCTACACAATAAAAATAATCGATTTAATAATATCTATTAATGAGCTTGTACAAAATGAACAAAATCATCATACCGGCTCAAAAGTCATTTCGACAACACATCTATCTAATTCATATTGCCATTTTAATTTTTTATTCTTATTTTCTGGGTCAGCCTTATATACACGTTCAAAAGCTGTTTTTGCTTGTTCTAGCTAAAACAAATATGAACATTCATATATATGCATATTAATATACATAAGCTATTTCAATTAAACTTAGGCTTACATTTGGTGCCAATTTCACGTTTAAGGTTGAGCTAGTTAAGTATTTTGGCCAACTATCTTGCGTCAAAACGTTAACATGCAGTAACGGTGCATTCTAAATACTTGAGACATAAATTAGTACAATATTTTATAAAAGTATTGATATATAGAATTTAAAACTCACACTAGTGCAATTGTCATGGGTTTCACTAATCTGCTTTGAAATTATTATATCATTCAACATTACATCTAAATTGTTAGAAAACTCTGGTTCCATTGCATTTAATAATCTAGTAGCCACACGCCTCTCCAATTCAAAGTCTGAAGTTCTCTCAAAGCAAAGTCGAGTAACAAGATCTGTCATATATAAAGTTCTAAAAATTTCTTTATCTATAAACAATTAAAAAATTTTCAATATATTGTTTATCATGTTTAATAAATTTATTAGAATTTAAATTACTACCATCCATGTAAGATAAAAATCGGAGGACGATTTCTAAAAGCTCTTCTAAATTTCTTATGTTGTCATTTGCGGCAAGTCTCATGAATTCATGTATCAGTTTTGCTGCAATATAATATTATCCAAAATTAGGATCTAAGTTAAAATAATTCAATTGTCTTGCTATTTGGACTTACCAACAGTTTCATTGATTTTTTTATTTTTACTTATATATTTTGTAACTCGTTGATGCCACACTTCTTTGATCGCGGAGCATAAATCATCAATATCATCATCTTCAAACATCATTTCAATTTCATTTTTAACTTTATTTAGCTGATTTGACAATTCAAAAGGCGTGCTTTCAAATTGTCCATAAATAAGTTCTATTTGTTGCTTGTATTAGAATAGAAAAGATTATTAATAGTTCTCGAGTTAATGCTAAGTTAAAACTAGTGTTTGAAATCAGATGCAAAATTATCATCCGGGTGAAACAGACAATGCATAACCCTGTTAAAAAAATTATATTAAATAACTTGTTTTGTATTTTTATAATTCAAGAGTAATTTAATTGTACATAGCCTGGCTGGTTCAAAAACTACCTTATTTATCTGAATTTTCGTGGAAATTCATCCGGGTCCAAACACTAGTTAAAACCAATAAAGACATGATTTTTTACCTCAATTATAGGGTCTATAAATAATTGTAATAGTTCAATACCGTCAATTTTAACCAGGTAAAGATATAACAAAGTTAATGCTTTGCCACGCTTTTCGCATGGATTACGTATAATGTCGAAGAACGTTGATTCAACTGTATAAAATTGTATATATTAGATACCATGGAATATAAAAAGTTGTCTCAAAGAAACAACTTACTTTTTTCCCAAATCAATTTGGCGTGACGTTTGATTAATTTTGACTCCACATGCTTCATTAAAGAATCCTTTGTTCTTGGATGTAAGTATGCAGAAATATGGTCTCTTTCAAAGTTAACACGTTCTTTAACGTATTGCAAATATTCATACACATTCAGTTTACGGATATAAACATCACTTTTCAATTCATAATATTTAGATGTAGTAAATTCAAGAGACTTTTCTATTGGATCATAAAGCGCTAACTTAATATATATTTGAAGTATTTCGCGTAGTACTGCACCATTTCTTACTTCACCATCCCTAGATAAAATACAATTAGTTATATAAATGTTAAAAGAAATTCATAAATATTTAATCACTTACCGCTGTTTTTCAATCGATTCTAATATCCCTAAAAGATTCTTTTTATTGATTTCGTGACTACATAACACTTGCTTCCGAAACTCACATAATCCCAATCTCCTAATTAACAGAAATGATCTAAAAAAAATCCATAGATAATAAAAAAAATGTAAAGCTTAATTGTTAATTAGTACTTACCAAATTGACTCTTTACCCAGCATTTGGAAAGCAGAATCCAAGTATTGAAAATTACTTTTGATCAATTCCTTAGAGTAATTATTTGCAAATCAATAAATGAAACAAGAGACAAACATGCAAAAAGTATAAATCTTGTACCATTTTATTAGTAAAACTTATCCAACTTGAAACAAATATTTCAAGAAAGGCATCGCTTTGCTCTGATTTGCTACATAACATTATTTATATTAGATACATAATGCTGGCTTTTGTCCTATAATTGTATATTACCTCATTAAAGTCTTTCTTATGTTGATTGAATATTGATTGTAAAGATTTTTCAAACGCGAATATACTTCCACCTGTTGTGTGTTTTCGAAACTTTGAAATGCAATTTGGAGTGAGGAAAGTGAAGCTTGAATAGGAAATCCGCAAAAAACGTTTCTGAACTCTTTTTCAAAACTCATAATTGCTATTGAAGTGTTTGTCATGTTTAATTAAAATGTCTTAAATACTTTTCGCGTTTTGTATTGTCTCTAGCTACTATAGCGAACTTCATCGCAATTGGCTAATTTAAATATGTTACACGAACTATCTATATGCAATACATCAGCCAATCATATAAGTAGATTTAGCCAGGGCGGCCCCCCCCAAAGTGCCAGTGACGCAGCCACAGTATATATACAATTGTTATCTAAAACAAGTGATCTACAATATGCAACTAGAAGAGAACCAATGAGTTGCACTAATTGGTCTTACGTCACTGGCACTTTGGAGGGGCCGCCCTAGCTAACTCATATAAGTACGTCATTTTGACACGTGATTAAGAATAAAAACCGATTTCTTTCACTCAATCTTTTATCATAACATACCGGGTACTGGTATATCAGCAAGTCCTATCTGCTATGTATATGGTCACTTTTTTTTAAGTGACATATATACCGACCTTATATATGCCGGTAGAGATCACGATGATTATTTATGCAAAATATGCATCGTAATCTCTATAAAAAAGGGTGGTATACACTCGGTACAGTGTATAGAAATTTAAATAAGATTTTAGGATTATGGTATAGGTTGTCGTCAAGGAAAACCCTAAACTGGGAATTCGAGTTTATTATTTTTTATTTGCTAGACTCAGCCCTGATCCGAAACATATACGATACGTTATGGGTTGTAGAAAATAACGGGTTAATCAGTTCCACATGGCCGAAGGCCATGTGAAACGGGTTGGCCCTTGCAAATTTAGTTATTTTATGCAATCCCATATAATAACTATATTATTGCACGGGTCTGACGTAACAACCCGTGCGACACCTTTCACATTAATAAAAGGACAATTTTACTGTTGATGTTATGAAGATTCTGTCCAATAAGAATTTTTTTAAAAAGCGAAGAACTAAATCTAATCAAGCAAAATTCCAATTTTATATAACCTTATCCAAATTTTTTTTTAAAAAAACGAAACTTTAATCATATAAAGAATCCTGTTCAATGAAAAATGAAAATAAAATAACATGATTCCGTTTAGTGTAATATAGAAAGCGAAGACTTAATAACAAATAACCTGCCTAACGATGGTTTTAAAAACAGAAATTTAATAATGAGTAATTCAGTATACTAAGAATTATAAAAGAAAAGGATTTAATAATATATGACTAATCTAACAAGAATTTAAAGAAAGTAAAAATTAATAACATGTAACTTCGTCCAGCAAGAATTTTAAAGTAAATGCTAAAAACGAGATTTTGTCTAGTAAGAATTTTAAAAAAAGCGATAGGAATTTTTAAAAAAATGCAAAATCTAAAAATGTGCGATTCTATTTAATATGAATTTAAAGAACCGACTAATTATATAATGATCAATCCAAACAAAAAAAATATGAAAACAAATTAATGTTAATACCGTCCAATGACAATTTAAAAAAGTAAAGATCTAATAATGCTCTATCTTCAATTTTAAAAATATGATGACCAACCAATTTAACATTAATAAAAATAAAATAACTAAATTGGAACACTTTCATATTTGATAAATATGAAGGTGTTCCGATTTAGTTATTTTTTTAAACACATGCTGTAAATGAGTGAAAAAAGCACGGGTTGTTACATAAGACCCGTGCAATAAGTAACGCATATCGGCTGATTTGGATAAGGAAATCCAATCTCCCCAGGTTAGGGTGCGTCAATTATATATAATTTCATATGTCTAATGAGGTGCGTCACTGGGAGATTGGATTTCCTTATCAAAATCAGCCGATATGGGTATTTGATTTTCTCATGCATATGTATGTCTGATTAGGGCTGAATCTATTGAACATTAAATAATAAACTTCCCGGTTGGAAATTTTCCATTAGCGGCACTCAAAAATAAATTCTATCCTGAAATTCTAATTTCCGGAGCAGAGCGGAGGAACTTAAGGCCAAACAATAGGTGAGAAAAAAATTCCGGGTGTGTTCCGGGTGTAGGATAAGAGCATAAACAAAAACTTCTCAATCATTCAATTGATCAGTATTGAAATTGTAGTATATGACATATCGCACTTTAACTTGTATATATGATGTAGCATAATAAAATCTAATCGCTCGTAATAAATTAAATTCGCGATAGTGGTTTAATTATTAAAATAAATGTTATATATGAGTTTAGTACAGTTATAAAACAAATTTAATCTAATTTTTGAGCATTTTTACTTTTAAGAAACTTCAAAGTATTAAACAGGTTCAAGGAAACAAGAACAAATACTTGAAAAAAAGTGACTTATAGATATAAACACAAATTTTAATTAATATTCTGGAAATTAGCTCTACTTCTAAGTAGGTTGTTGTTGATGAAGTTCAAAAAATATAAAATACCAAGAAGGGATATAACTAGAACAGTTTTTTTGGGGGTCAAGTTTTTCATCTATCTCTATTGACAAATTCCCCAAGTTAT